CTCTTCTTTCTGTGTGTGTATGCATGTATGTATATGTGTTATATATATATATATGTGTGTGTGTGTGTGTGTGTGTGTGTGTGTGTGTGTGTGTGTGTTTTACATGTATGTTTTTATTTTTTAGATATGTATATGAAAGTAGATGGTGGCTTTAGCTTCAGATCCTCTGGTTTCTATCTCCTGAGTGCTGGTGTTGCAGGTTTGGTGCTACCAGGCATGATAGGAAAGTATGGGCTGGGAAGGGTTCGGGAGAGGAAGAACAATAATAAGATAAGGGTAAGAGAGAAATGGAGGTGAATGTGAGCAAAATGCATTATAAACACGTACGGAATTGTCAGAGTAAATAACAATTATTTTTAATAAAACCCCTTACTTAAGCTGGAGAAGAACTCTCGTCAGCCTAGAAGGTCAATGGTGAACAAAGGCAGTGGGAATCTGGATCAGAGACACCGACCCAGCCTCTCCCCCAACACACCAACAGGATCTCTGTTTTCCTCCAGACCCACTGCTGGCACTCAGTGAGACTCTGATTATTCAGGGATCCGCAAAGGCAGGTGGGTGGGTGAGGAGGTCCTCAGCTAGGTGTGGGGGTCTCTGCACGCCCTCGTTCAGCGGCTCCACCCGCAGCCACAGCCCGCCCTCTGCGCGCAGGATCAGCTCCGGCTTCCGGCGCGGCTCCTTGTGGTCCGGAAGGACGCGGAAGCGCAGCAGGGTGAGCGCCAGCGCCACCTTCATCTCGTTCATGGCGAAAGTCTGTCCTATGCAGTTCCTGCGGCAGGGCGGGGTGGGAACTTTGACTGTGCCAGGACCCAGTTAAGAGTCCTCAGACCCAACCTGACCGGGTCCCCACCGCGCCTGGTCAGCATGAGGAACAGGAGGGACAATGACACGCCCGGGACCCTGCTTGTGCATCCGCATCCCAGGAACCTGGCTCAGCCTCAGCGCCCGATCCAGACCTGGGTGGGTAGGGCTCTGAGCACGTAGCGGCCACCCTTCACCTTCCAACCCCAATTTCTGGTGACCTTTAGCATACCCTGTGCAGAGGGGGGGAAGGAAACACAGAATCCGACCATCCCGGCCCCCAACCCCACCCCATCATGCTTAGATCCCACCCCTTCACCCCAGCGCTCTAGCCTCACCTGGGCCCGGCAGAGAAGGGAATAAAAGCCAGAGGTGACCTCTTCTGAGGGTTTTCTGGGTCAAAGCGGAAGGGGTCATAGACCTGCGGGCCAAGAAAGACTAAACTGATGGGTCGTGTCTCTCTGCACATCCAGCCAGCCCCAGAAAAGATGGGTATGGGGACAGGAGAATGACAGCCTCTGGGTGTCGGGTAGTACCGTGCCCTTTTCCCAAGTCCTAGGGATCAAGGGAGGAGCCTCACCTCAGGGTCTGGCCAGACTGAGGGGTTGTGATGAACCCCAAAGATGCTGATGACACATGCGCTGCCTTTTAGGTAGAAGAAGACAGTCAGTACCAGATCCGCGCTACCTCTAAGGACCGCCATCCTACCCTGGGGCCTCCTCCCAACTTGTGTGGGCACCTTTGGGGACGACTCGACCATCAGGCAACACAATGTCCTGGATGCAGCCCCGGACCAGGTCTGTACCGGGAGGATGCAGCCGCAGACTCTCCTTGATGCACATGGTCAGGAAGGTCAGCTGGGCCAGGTCATCCCTAAGGAACCACCACTTAATTATCCAGGAACAAAAACAGAGCCCCATTCAGCCTCACTACCATCCAGGGGTACTAATCACCTCCTTTAAACACTTGCACTCCAGATGAATCAAAGATGTTTGCTTGTTTTTTGATTGTTTATTAAAGAAAGTCTCAAACAATGGAGAATGACCTTCAACTCCTGACCCTCCTGCCTCTATCTTCCAAATTCTGAGATTACAGAGGTCAGCTACCAAGAATGGGAAAAAATACCAGAAGAAAGCTTGACCTGGTATTGGAAATGTTTATAAGGAAACGCACCCCTCAAGAGATATCCTTAGCCGGGCGTTGGTGGCGCACGCCTTTAATCCCAGCACTCGGGAGGCGGAGGCAGGCGGATCTCTGTGAGTTCGAGGCCAGCCTGGGCTACCAAGTGAGCTCCAGGAAAGGCGCAAAGCTACACAGAGAAACCCTGTCTTGAAAAAAAGAAAAAAAAAAAAAAAGAGATATCCTTAAATGCTTGCATACATTCAGAGCGAAAAAGTTTTAAAAAAATGTATTCATCTGACCTGGGTGAGGTGGTACTCAGCCTCAGAAAGTGGAGGCAAAAGGATCAGGAGTTAAAGGCCAATCTAGGCTACAGGAAATGGTGCATAATAAAAAAATTATATCATGAAATAACAAAAGCAGAAGTACATATTTCTCGGCTGGTCAGACAGGTCAGATGGTAAAGGCACCTGCCGCCAAACTTGATTACAAAAGGTCAACCCCCAGAACACATATGATGGAAAAAGAGAACTGACTGTAGCCTACCTGTCCGCCACATGTGGGAGCACACACACACACACACACACACACACACACACACACACACAATTAAATAAATAAACGTAATTTAATTTTTTAAAAGAAAAGTGTCCTTAGGTGCTGTGTGGTGTTTGAATGAGAACGGCCCCCAGAGGCTCATAAGCTTAGTCTCCAGTTGGTGAACTGTTTGGGAAGCATTAGGAGGTGTGGCCTTGTTGATAGAGATGTGTCACTGAGGCTGGGAGGTTTCAAAAGCCCATGTCAGGCCCTTCTCTCTCTCTGTCTCTCTCTCTGTGTCTCTCTCTGTGTGTCTCTCTCTCGTCTCTCTTTGTGTCTCTGACTCTTTCTGTCTCTCTGTCTCTCTCTGTCTGTCTGTCTCTCTCTGTGTGTCTCTGACTCTCTTTCTGTCTCTCTGTCTCTCTCTGTCTCTGTCTCTCTCTCTCTCTCTTTCTCTCTCTCCCTCTCCCTTTTTCTCTCCCTGCCTGCTGCCCTCAGCTACTTCTCCAGCACCATGCCCACCTGCCCGCCAACACACTTCCCACCATAATGGTAATGGACTAGCCCTCTGAAGCTGTAAGCAAGCCCAGTTAAATACTTCTGTATGTTGCCTTGGTCACGGTTTCTCTTCACAGCAGTAGAGCCCTAAGACATACTGTAAGATGTTTTGAATGCATAGATGCCTTCCATATTCAAGGCTAGAGTGATCTATTATTATAAATGTGTCAGGTTTTCTAAATCATCAACATTTTCAATATCATCCAATCAAACTCTTGCCAGAGTTGGTTTCTTTTTAGAGTTTTTTTATTTGTTGCTATTTTTAAAGAAGTGTAAGTATTCTAATCATGTTCACCCTCCACTACCCTCTTTTGTCCTCTTCCCCTTCCTGAGGAATACCTCCCTACTTTGACGTTTTGTCTTTTGTTTATTTATTTATTTGCTTATTTATTTATTGTACGTGACTGTAGATGTAACCAACCGTCTTATTAAATAAGAAACACAGAACAATGTAAAAGAGAAAGCCAAGAGATCAAAGCTCAGAGCTAAAATCTCACCCTTCCTCCTGCGGTGGTCCCAGCTTCCCGAAAGAAAGCTATTTCCCTGGTGTAAGTCGTTTCATAGTCATTCTGCCTTCTCATTGGTTGTAAACCCAAACACGTGACTGCCTCATCACTGTCTGTATGTACAGCCCCCCAGGTCTTAAAGGCATATGTCTCCAATGCTGGCTGTATCCCTGAACACACACAGACCTATGGGATTAAAGGCGTGCGCCACCACCGCCACACTCTGTGCTGTGGGATGGTCTGTATGTCAAATTGTTCTGATTGGTCAATAAATAAAACACTGATTAGCCAGTGGCCAGGCAGGAAGTAGGTGGGACAAGGAGAGAGGAGAGTTCTGGGAAGCAGAAGGCTGAGTCAGAGAAACTGCCAGCCGCCACCATGACAAGCTGTATGTGAAGACACCGGTAAGCCACAAGCCACGTGGCAAGGTATAGATTTATGGAAATGGATTAATTTAAGTTATAAGAACAGTTAGCAAGAAGCCTGCCATGGCCATACAGTTTGTAAGCAATATAAGTCTCTGTGTTTACTTGATTGGGTCTGAGCGGCTGTGGGACTGGCGGGTGAGAGAGATTTGTCCTGACTGTGGGCAAGGCAGGAAAACTCTAGCTACACATGACAATCCTTCTCTGCCAGCACTGGGCATTAAAGAATTTGCACACTAGGCAATTATCCAAAACTGAACTGTGTCCTCACCCAAAAACCTTATTCTAACTGGAAGAGTTAAAGTTTACAAAGGTAAGTCCATCTAAAAATAAAAGAGGGAGCCAGAGGCAGGTGGATTTCTGAGCTGAAGGCCACCCTGATCTACAGAATAAGTTGCAGGACAGCTGGGGCTATAGAGTGTCACTCTGTATCTATTTTTTTTTTTAAGGAGCCCACCTATCATTTACTAACACCCATTACAAAACCATAGTAGTAAAAATGAGACTAACTTTTTAAAACGATGTTGCCACACATGAACAAGGACATGAAAACATGTTTCAGCAAGAACATGAAAAGAGACATGTGGAATCCTGAGTAGGTGGGCACAGGGATGCCTGAAAATACGGTATCTGCTGAAGACCGTGCTCATGTTGCTGGGAATTGGATAGGTAGATTAGAGGAAGGGTTTTTAAAAAACAAATCAGGGACAAGCAAACAAAAAGTGTGACATCAACCAGGTGTGGAACTGCAGCTCTGAGGAGGTGGAGGCTGAAGGGTTAGAATAATCAAGGATAGCCTCAGTCATACAGCAAGTTGGAAGCCACCAAGACCTTCATGAGAAGCTGTCTCAAAAAAGCTTGTCTCTCCCAGATTCTAAAACATGAAACCTTTAAAGTCAATTAGTGTTGCTGGGCAGTGGTGGTGCACTCCTTTAATCCCAGCACTTGAGAGGCAGAGGCAGGATCTCTGTGAGTTTGAGGCCAGCCTGGGCTACAGAGTTCCAGCACATCTAAGACACAGAGAAACCCTGTCTCGAAAAAACAAAAAACAAAACAAAACAAAAGTTAATTATCGTTATCTGTCACTTCAAAGATTTGTCATTTCCTTGTGGTGAGAATATTCAAAATCCTTTCTTCTGGTGATTTTGAGGTATACAACACATTCCTTTAAACGGGTAATACTGGTGTGCACAGAACAGAAAAGAAATGCAACTCTACCAACTTATCAAGTCAGCACTGAACCAACCCCTCCCCAGACAGGTGAAAGGGAAGCAATATCTTCTTGGGTTTTTGTTTGTTTGTTTTGGGTTTTTTGTTTGTTTGGTTGGTTGGTTTTGGTTTTTGGTTTTTCAAGACAGGGTTTCTCTGTGTAGCTTTGGACCTTTCCTGGAACTCACTCTGTAGCCCAGGCTGGCATTGAACTCACAGAGATCCTCCTGGCTCTGTCTCCCAAGTGCTGAGATTAAAGGCGTGCACCACCACCGGTGGCTGGGAAGCAGTATCTTCATTACTTACCAGTAAGGATGTCTAAATGTCTAAGAGTAGAAAATGCAAGAACAAATAAAGAAGAAGTAAATATACATGAGAAAATAATTTCTGTATATGAAGAGACCATGGATCAAATTAGAATTCAGATTAGAGATTCATGATATTTACAGTGACTGATATATATAAACATACATATGTGTAAATGAATTGCTGCAAATCAACGCTAATGACATGTGACACAAAGGATATATTTTAGGATTTCAGTAGGGTCAAACACAAGATATTGGAGAGAGGCCATGAAAGCTGAACAGAGGCCAGGGCTGAAGGGGGGGAAGGGTAAAAGTGGTCATAGAGATGATGCTAGAGATGGCGGTGAGAACCACGAAAAACAAATTAGGTTTGAAATGCCATAATGAACCCTAACACGCTGTATGCAAACTAATTAACTAATGAATTAGATGGAGATGTGTCCAAACTGGGCGTGTAACTCCTGAATGCAGAGGCATTAAGATACTGACTTCCAGGCCATGCTGTATCACCCAGTGTTGCCATTTAGGCATCGTGCTGGCCTGCTCAGGGTCCTCAGCTGCAGCCACTAAGAACACCCGCTGTGCGTAGGCACTCGTCAGTATTCGGGCAGGTACGGTGGTCAGCTCAAGGTCCTCAGAATACATTGTCCACTACCTCGCTACATAGTCTCTGTGCACATGAGCTCTGTCCCCTTATAAAGACTGGCGACCACCTCCTGTCCCTTACCCGCCACTTCTCCCTCAAAGGCCGGTCTCTGCACCCTTTGATAGGAATTCTAGCCACGCCTCCATGACTGCGCATGCCCTGGCCCTGGCGAGACACTTAGTCATTTCAGCCTAGTCGTTTCCGGCGTATGTCCTAGTAATCAGTGCGCTGCATGTCACGTAATTTGTTCCCAGCGTGATCACGTAATCTCTATGGACATGCGTGGCGCATCCACTTGGGCCCATATGTGCATGGGGGGGGGGGTAGTCCATAAAAGGCAGATCCCATGTACCCTCCCTTCCTCACATGTCTCTCCAACAGGCCTGATCACATTCTTTCCTGTCCCTCCCTTCTCCTAATAAGCTCTCATAGTGGGTTTTGTTGTGTCTTGTGACTTTTCCTCACAGAATAAACAGCGATGCATAAAACCAACACCCTTCCTCATCCCTTCCCCAAAACACCTCCCACGTGATTTTGTTGTATGGTGTGACTTTATCTCCCGCCATAAACATTCACAACATTTGGTGCCATGAGACTCGGCAGGCCCTGCCGGCAGTTCGAGGCACACCAGGATCCTGGGCCCGGTCCACCTACGACAGCCTCACTTTTCGAATTAACTGACCTCAGGGCTCTCCATCCAACATCAACTGGATTGGTGAGTTTCCCCTTCTCCCAGTGGGTGTAAACACTTTCCTGGACTCGTGTGAGTGACTATTGAGCTTTTTGCACCCACTGGCATCCTTGGAGGTGGGGGAACCCCCAACCACGGCCTTAAAGGCTACAGTTGGCCCCCTTTGGCAACAATCACCCTTGACCATTCCCCACTAGTGAGGCCTCAAACTCTTGACTGTGGTTTCTCACCTCTTGGCCCCACCCGCAAGCCCTGGTACCAGACAACCACCTGTCTTTCTGGACTGAGAGCTCACATCGGCCTCTGTCCTTTGGGTGATGACCCACTGTGGCCAGCCTGTGCCTCCTCAAATCGATCCTCCCTGAATTTCTGGGGTGCTAGAAATTCCAGGTCTTCGGATCTTGTTTATTCTCTCTCACTCATGGGAACTGCCCCTATCTCCATAAGCCCAACTTTCCCTCAAAGCTATAACAACAGCTATAGAAACCACAGTGCTCACCATTCAATCTCCTGGGGCTCTCGGTCCCTCAGCAGCTCCCGCACCTCCTGTCGGCATCGCTCCTGGTATTCCGGGTGCCTCGCCAGGTTGTACAGGGTCCAGGAGAGTGCACTGGCTGTGGTGTCATGGCCTGAGGGGCAGACAGGCAAACTTAGATCTCTGGCCCCCTCAGCACTACAGTGCTCAAGTATTAAAGCCCCCGGGGAGGATAGGAAGAGGTGGATGAGCGGACATAAATACTAGATGAAAGGGGTCAGGAGACATGTATCTAGGCTCGGTGCAGACTCACAAGAAATCATGAGTATAATTGAGTCTCCTCTCTGAGACCCTTCGATTGACTGACCCCTGCCTCCTCTGTGGCTGTACAGGGACCCTCACCTCCAAACATGAAGGTGTCAGCCTCTGCCCGGATGTCCTCATCTGACAGCTCCTTTCCATGTTCATCCTGAAGACAAAATGAGACCCTCATTGCTTGCCATGTCTGAGGGCTGCTGAGCCTGATCTGAGCCAGCTCTGATAGCCTTTGTACTTACAGGACCCCGCCTTGTCTCTCCCCCAGAGCCCGCCCCACACTTTCCTCCTTAGTTTCCTAATGTTTGCTCCTTCCACACAGCATTCAACAGAAGCACGTCTGTTGAACTTCTTCCTAACCTGCCCTTCGTTTTACAAGTACCATCAAATGCTCTTCAGCATCCTTTTGTTCAACTGCAACATTTTCTATCTAACAATGCACATTAATGTTCCTGTAACCCACATAAACCGACCTTGGCCATCAAGAGCACATCAATGAAGTCCAAAGTCTTGGTCTTAGCCTTGGCCTTCACGAATTCATCAGCACCCTGGCTACTGAGGGTGCGGCGTCTCTCCCTGATGACAGCATCTGTGAAGTTGTGCACCACGTCACAGGCCTTGCGGAAGCGCCGCCCATCAGCAGTGAGGTAGTACAGGAAGTCCATGTACAAGAAGACCTGCTGGTACTTTTTTGCTACCAGGGCGCTGAGGTCCAAGATGGCAGCAATGTATTCACTGGGAGACCTGCAGGTCAGGCCAGAGAGAGGAAGCAACTTAGCACACAAAACCCCAGAGAAGCTCCAGCCAGAGAGTCCAAGGACCAGGGTCCATCCTGAAAAAGGGCATCCACAAAGCACAAATTCTGTTTCCTGCTCTCTACAAGTAGCTCCTGACCCAGGAATCCAGGGCATAAGTGGACATCACTTCCTCCTCTAGTTCACCCAGCATCTGCTCCTGCTCTTCTCCTTTGGTTTCTTGTGACTCTGCCCAGGCTCAGACCCTCCTCGCCTGGTTCCTTGCCCCCTGTATCTCTATGAAGCTCCTCTATTGATTAGGGTGCCTAAAGCTCACTGTGACTAGGACTCCCTGCTGTACAGAACCTTCTCTTATGACCTGGGAAACTCAGGATGGAGCTCACACCCTTCTGGCTAGACAACATCTTTAAGATCTGGCCACCAGCTGGAAATGCTGGCTCCTGGCTATGATCCCAACACACAGGAGGTGGATGCAGGAGCATCAGAAGCTCAAGTCCAATTTCATCTGCATAGTGAGTTCCTTCCCGGGCTAACTACAGACTGAGATGAGGTCAAGAAAGGAAAAGGTAAAGGAAGGAAGGATAGGCAAAGGAGAAGGGAAAGGGGGAGAAGAGGGAAGAGGTTAGGAAAGGAAAGGTCTGTGTACTTTAGAACTATCTGTGATGGTCATCTTGGTAATATGTAAGATTGAGAAGCATCTTCAAGATTAGTCAAACATGCATCTGCAGGAAGGCAGAGGGTGTTTCTTTCTTTTTTCTTTTTTTTTTTTTTTTGTTTGTTTGTTTGTTTGGTTGGTTGGTTGGTTGGTTGGTTTTTCGAGACAGGGTTTCTCTGTGTAGCTTTGCACCTTTCCTAGAACTCACTCTGTAGTCCAGGCTGCCCTCGAACTCACAGAAATCCACCTGGCTCTGCCTCCCGAGTGCTGGGATTAAAGGCGTGCGCCACAGCGCCTGGTGTTTCTAGAGGAGGTAAACACCTTCTCTCGGTGTGGACAGCCGCAAATCTCTAGGGGAAGGAGGAAGCTTTCTGGCACAGACGTGTTCTCTCTGTACTTCTCAGCCGTCATGGCGGGAGCTGCCTTGCTCTGTCATTCCAACCCTGATGGACTGAAACCAGTGGGCAAAATATGTCTTTCCTTCTGAACATGTTTTGCTTAGACATCTTGTCACAAAAACAAGTCAAATACATCCTCCAACCTTGTTTCCGAGGTACCGCTTCATTGCCTGTTCCATGTACCACTCATCCGCACCTCCTTGCCTTTACCAAGATAATTGAAACTCTGGAAGAACCACTCACCCTCTTCTCTGTCCTTCTCCGACAGTTCTCACCCACCTCCTCAGGGGCCCCTCTGCTCCCTCTTGCCAGTCCCTCCTCCCCAATCTTCTCTCTTGATCCACAGCTCAGGTTTCTGACCCAGCACAGGGACTCACTCTTGACAGTTGCTGTCAAAGCCAAAGAGGCATTTCTGCAGACTGTCCAAGGTCATGAGGCTGATGTTCTCAAACATTTCCAGGCGGGCGCTGCCTTCCGCGGCCAGACGCTTCCACTTCACCTTTAGAGAGGGAGACAAGGATGGGGCTAAGCCTTGGCTCCCGAACCCCTGCCCAAGCTGAAACATCAGGATAGACCTCTCTGCTAGAACCAGCTTCGTGGTCTTCTGCCTCAGGTTCTACCTGACCCCAGAGAAGCCAGACTTGGATGGGAACAGAAAGTGGGACTGTAGAAAATGAAGATGCAGGGTTAGAAGTCAAGAGCTTTCAATTAACTCTACCAACTTCTGTGTGTCCTTGGTCAGGCCACTGCCCTCTCCAGGAGCAAGCAATCGAGCCTTCAAATTTGAACTTATTTGTTGCCCCCTAAGCCACACTTCAATGTCTGTGCTACCACTCACGCTCTCACGGCCGGTGTGCTTGGAAGCTCCCCCTGATCTCTGTGACCCTCAGATTCACCGTCTATAATGTAACTGTCATAGCTGCCTCTGCCTCAGAGCAGCCCAGAAATTACAACAGACAACATAGATCCCAGAACTGGCATACAGTAGATGCTCAATAAACGTGAGCATCAGTTATCACTGTCATTAGTACAGTAGTAAGTGACTATAGAAGTGGCCCTAAGTATTCACAATCCTTCTATCATCAGCCTTTGCAAGGAAATTCGGAGAGTAGTTCTATTGGGAGGTGGGGTCCATCTTCCCAGGTCTTCAATCTGAACTGAACTGGGAACTTGTTTTTACCTAAAAAGCATTGTGAAAAAGACTCTATGCTGCTGGGGATGAAATGTAGCTTGGAAAGCCATGGAACGTTCTGCCTTCCCTGTCTTGGAAACACTATCTCCATTCTAGCAAAGCAGTGATTCCCTAAGGATGATAAGGGATGAAGGGGAAGGCCTGGCTGGCCTACCAAGACCAGTTTTAAACTGTTTCTTTTTTTTCTCAAACTGATGATACAAACCAGGGCCTTGCTCATGCTAGGATAGCTAGCTGGAACTGAACTATACTCAAGACTTGACTGACCTTGAACACACAATTCCTCTGCCTCAGTTCTCTCAGTGCTGGAAATACAACTGCCCAGCTTTGAGCCAGTAAACTAAGACTGGTGTACTAAGCGAAAAAGACCTACTATGTGATAATGAACATTAACATGTTGGCTTTCCAGAACTTCTGTAAGTTCAGAAAGTAGATACCGGTCTTCTGTGAGCCCTGTCTACATGCAAGGAGCATAGCTCCATGGTGTTATTCTGACCATCTTAAGTTGTTATTATTCACATTCTAAATATGGAGAAACTGAGGCTTGGTGAAGAAAACTGATGTCCCCAAGACCATGCAGCAGAAACACATGATCAGACTACATCTATCCGAGGCCACTCCCTGTTCTGCAATGTTCTACGTGGGACCCTGAGTCTGAGGAACTCACGTGCATGATGTTCACACTCTTGTTAAAAATCTTCACATAGGGCTTCAGGATGTCAAAGTGGAAGGCGGGTGTCAGCAGACGGCGATGGCGACTCCACTTGTCACCAGAACTCAGGAAGAGCCCATCCCCTGGGAGGGAAGCCACTGCAGTGAGCAAAGGTGGAACCCTCCTCTGACCCCCAAGGTGTCCCCCAACCCTCACCTTGATGTACTCACCCAGCCAGGGCTTCAGAAAGCCATAGAAAGTCATGTCCTTGGGGGCCACCAAAGCTGCCGTGAAGGAGGACAATCAGGGGCCATGGAGAAGATGAAAGGCGGACTTTGGGAGGGGTGGGGACTCCCAGCCCCAGGGATGCCCACTTCCCCTCCAAACACAGGGAGGTAGGAAAGGAACCAGGACAAAGACAGCAGGGAAGAGGAAGGAGGTGAGACAAGACCAGACCAGTCTGTAGAGCAGAGAGAGCAAAGTTCAGCCTGGCAGGGAACAAGCATGTCCCAGCATGCCTTCACATGGCTGCTACATGGTCCACTATGTCTTCCACATCTGGGTGCATCACAGCACTCTACAGGCCTCTGCAAAGACCTAGGACACACTGTCAATTGCAGCTCTCTGACATGTCCTAACACATCCTGGTATATATGACAGGCACACATGTTATCATGACCTGCCATAAACATAACACACATGGTATTCCCTGACATGATAAACATGGGTGTGTAACAGTTCTGGCATCACCTAATTGTGCCCTTCAGATAATCCCAGATTGGCAATGAAATATGGTCCCTTTTGAGTCCCAAATGTGACCTGGATAGTTCCCAGACCCCTCTAGTTCTCTCCTCTGTGCCACACTAAGGATTAACTGTTCAGAATTAAGGGCAACTCTATTCTCAGAGCCACGTGCATGCCCACTGGGAAGAGTTGCCTCTGCCCTCTCCAGCCATCAAGCAGCCCCAGAGCCAACCAGACACAGCTGACCCGTCTGGACTCTAGTGGACAGTCCCTGCAGCACTCTGCATACCATCTCTGTCCCAAATCATCTCCAGCTTGGGGTCCCTCCTATCGAAGGTGGCTGGGGCAGCCAAGACTCATTAAACTAAGCAGAGGAAACAGGGAAGGTTATCTATAACTTTATCTAGAACCACAGAATTTTCCCTGATGTTTGAATGACTAGAAGCCATCTTTCCCAGCAAGAAGATAAGGTCCTCCAAGAGGAAAACAGAACTAGAAGATGAAGATTCCTGATTGCACTGTAAGGAATCTAGACGCAACTGTACCTAAAGACCCCTCTTGTGGACATAACTCTTGTGGATGGCAAGATAGCTCAGTCAGTAAAATACTTGCTTTGCAAGCATTAAGAACACAAGTTTCATAAAAAGAGCATGTGTAAAAATGCCAGCAGGATGGTGTCACTGCTGGGAAGGGAGAAACAAGGAGGATCCCTGGGGGTTGGTGGATAGCAAGTCTAGCTTAACTGGTGAGCTGCAGCCAGTGAGGGACAAGATTGACAGTGGTCCTAGAAATGACAAGAAGGGTTGTCCTCTGTCCTCCACATACATGTGCACATGCATACACATACATAGACACGTGCATGTGGACCCACATATGCATATGCACATACATAAACATTCATAAAAGAGAGTCTTCTTTCTAGTTCTAGGGATGGAACCTAAGGCTTTGTTCTTGGTAGGCAAGTGTTCTACCACTGAGCTACATCTCCAGTCAAGATGAAAAACAGGAGAGGCCAAAGATTGGGACCCTGGGAGAGGTACCTGGGGCATGGAGCAGGGGGGCAATAAATGCAGGGTCCACAAGCTTCAGCACAGGGATGACAGGTCCCAGCCAACAGAGTTGGACATCTCGGAAGGTCTTGCCCATTTCAGTCACCATCTGCATACCTTCCTCATTGTTCTGGATCTGAAGATGAAGAGCCGAGGCTAGTCCTGGCAGGTGTATCAGATGCTCTTCCTCTGTGCCCACCACACCTCACCCTTCTTACCCTCCTACTTGGGTTATTCATCCTTGATTCTTACTAAGTCAACCAGGGTTCATTATATGTGTTTCTTAGTGTATCCATGTTTCTATCTACATACCTTTCACTGATGTGTCTCTCTCCTCATCTCTCTATTTTGTGATCTAAATATGGATAGTGGGTGGATGAATCACTAGATGGATGAATGGATAAATACATACATACATGCATATATACATAGAATAAATGATACATAGATGTATAGATTAATATACATGGACCAAGAATGATAATAGATAAATAGGTAGATAGATGACAGATAATAGATATAGATAGATGATAGACAGATAGATAGAATGATAGATAGATAGATAGATAGATAGATAGATAGATAGATAGATAGATTGATAGATAGATTAAATAGATACATGATAGATCATATAAGTAGATGACATGGAAAGATTGGTATGTAACTGAAAAAAATTATTAGCTAAATCTAAATGTATAGCTATGTATTTTTCTTTATTATAATTGTCTTTCTTTTTTTCCCTCCATTTCTTCATCTGCTCACTCCCTGTGCTTGTTAGTTTTTTGACAGCTTGACACAAACCAGAGTCATCTGGGAAGAGGGAGCATCAATTGAGAAAACACCTCTATGAGACTGGCCTCTAGGCAAATCTGTAGGCATTTTCTTTATTAATGATTGATGTAGGAGGGCCTAGCCTTCTGTGTGTGGTGCAACTATTGGATAGATGGTCCTGAGAGGTGTAAGAAAGCCAACTGAACAAGAGCTTAGGGAACAAGCTGGTCAGCAGCATTCCTCCATGGCTTCCGTGTTGGTTTTGGTCATGGTATTTTATCACAGCAACAGAGAAACAAACTAGAACATGCTCTCTTCCCTCCTTGTCCTTTCCCTCTGCCTCTGCTCTCTCTGTCTCTGTCTCTGTCTCTCTCTCTCTTTCTCTCTCTCCCTCTCTCTCTCACTTGTCCCTGAACCAGAGCACAGCCCACTAACCCCAGGTCTGGGCACGCATCTCCCCACTTTCACAGCAAAGAATCTTGAAGGTTTCCAAATCTTGGTTCCCTGCTCAGGAGAGATGTGAATTTGGAAGTCATCTAAAGAGGGAAGTGATGGGCAGCTCAGGGGCTGGACCCTGAGGTCAGAAGGCAGCTTTGAGGGGGGGGAGACAGGAATGAGAGGAGACTGGCAGGGGGACTGTGTGATATCAGGAGAAGACACAGAAAGACGACGGATGAGGATGTCATCCTGAAGCCTGTGATGATCTCCCTGCAAAGAGGGGACCTTGGCACAGCAGAGCACTGTGGAGAGATGGATGAGGTGGGGTCAGGATTCAGTGACCTGGCAACCACAAAGTAGAGGGCACAAGGAGCAGGCCGGGGAAAGCAGGCAGAGAACGAAATGACTCATGGGATTATAGGGCAAACAGTCAGGAGGTTTAGTACAGAAGGAGTCATATTGGAGGCAGACGGATGGAAGCGAAGATGTCACCTGTGAAAAACATATCAGAAAACATGGATGGGTGAGTTCATCAAAGGCGAAGATTTTACAAATGTCTGTGAAAGAAAACCTAATCAACAAGAACTTCAGAGATGATGGGAGTCTGAGCTAAGTGGTGATGGGAGGGACTAGAAGGAGGCTGCTGCATTGTAGAGAAGGCGGTCCTGGGGGACAGTGATGAGAGGAGATGAGAAGAGAAGCTGGAAGGAAAGAGGGTTGTGGTGAATGGCATTGGCGGTGGAGCCTGCCAGGTGGCATCCCTAGAAACACAAGGCGTAGCTCTAGCAATGGGGAACCAGCGCAGCATGGAGCAAGGGTCACGGGGGATGATGGGAGGGTGCTGAGCTGGAGCCTCTCTCAGGATCTAGGCCTGTGTGAGAGCCAGAGAGGTCCCTAAAAAAAAAGGAACCGGTCCTTCTGGGCTGTGATGCTGTGATAGAGAGCGTCCCTGGCACACACAAGACACTGGGTGTTATATTCTGGCACTACAGATGTTAAAAACTCCTAAGCTTTGACCCAAAATGGACATTAGAGTCAGCTGGTAAACCTCGAGAGCAGATGACAAAATCCGAGGGGACGAAGTCCAAGCAGCTGGAGGGGTGACAGTGTACACATCGCTCGCCTGCCCCACGGAGCCCCTGTAGGTGGAGGTCGGGAAGCCAAGTAACCGCCCAGAGAGGTACAGACACTGGCCTGAGATCAACAGAGATGGGTCAAGGAGGGCCCAGACTTCGGACATGCTACAGGGAGACCTCAAATCCAACAGCAGAAACTGAAGGGATCGGGGATGTCCTCGCCCTGTGCAGTCCACTCTGCCCGGTGGGAATGTGATGCAAAGCAGGCTTGGAGCGTGAAAGAAAAAAAAAAAAAAAAAAAAAAGGAAGGAAGGCTTCCGGGCATGAAGTTGTGAGGTGCCAGAAGTGGACGGGCTGGCACAGTG